TTTTCTGCTAGGCTCAGGGCCGATGCAGACCTGAGGTCGCTCTGCTTATGACGTAAGTCCAAGATGGGCGCCTGCTCTTTGTCTTACTCGCCCTTGAGAGGTGAGCAGAGAGAGAGAAACCTGTGTCCGTACCAGTCACCTTTTTTTTTCTCTCTCTCTCTCTCTCTTCCAGTTAGCCTGGTGAACTTTTCCCCCCCAGGGGTCGTTCCCTCTAGTCTCCTCTCCCGGCTTGCCTGCCAGTGTCTCGGGTTATTGAGGTTCGGCTCACCTCGCATTCCAGCGCTGGTCTGTTGAGTCTGCCACTGGTGTCCCCGACTGTGGGCTCCCACGCTCTCCATGCAGGTCCACTGTGAATCACACGTTCCGGAAGAGTTTCTTCTGCTGTTTCTTCCCCTACTCTTCCTTGAATCTGCAGTATCTCCACTTTTATTAAACTGTCTCTACCCGGACTATCAGTGTGCTCCCTTCCTATTCCACCATCTTTCCTGTACTACATTTTTTATTTCATCTTAAACTATTACCCTTTTTTCTGCTTTTTATTGTTTGTATTATTTTCCTATCTATTTCTGTTATTATTTTGAGCTTGGATCAGGAACATATTTTTAGGCTATTAACACCGCTTAAAACCAGGAATGTTGTTTTAAATTAAAAAAATCTAAGAATTTTAAAGCACTATTAGATAATGAATTTTCAGAAAGCCTGAAGCCTTCCCCCAAATATACATTGTGTGTGTGTGTGTGTGTGTGTGTGTGTCTGCATGTATGTATGTATGCTGATATTTGACTTTTCATTCTAGTTTGAAATGTGTTCCTCTAACAATGGGAAATTGTAAGCAAATCAGTCACTGTAGTAGCCTTCCAGACTAAAATGATTTGATAGTTTCAGTGTGAACCACAGCATTTCAGTGTTTTTTTTTTTTCAGTTTTTTGCCTAAGAGGTAGAAATATTTTCATGTAATTACTACTTATCAAAGATGCCATTCCAGCATTTAGAATATAATCATAAATCTCTGTTATGTTGTCATTATTCTGACCTTTTTTTACTGGGTTTAATGTTATAAAATAATATGATGATGCTTGCTTTCATTCTATTAGGATTTCAAAAGGTAGATTTTGTTTGTCATGTTCTTGTGGTAGCTGATCATCTTCCTTTGTCTTGGTTAAAAAGAATATCAGAATTGGCATTAACTGAAAAGTGCAAATATTTTTAAACTAAAAGATTAGTATGCTTCAGGGATAGCAGTTTTATTGATTTCATGATGTCATCATAGTAAAATATACCATTATTGTTTCAAATACAAAAAAATCAAAAGCCTTTCATGATGGCATGCCACCATTTGCTTAGCACATCCTAATGTCAGAAATATAGGAGAAGTACACATCTTAGACTGCAAATATGTTAATTGTATTGAAATGTCATGAAACCTTGAATATAATGATGTAGCATTTATGGGGATTTTAAGCATGACGTATGAAAGTGGAATGTTTTGCTTGCTCTGAGTTTGGATATAACTCTGTTTTAATTATCCATGTCCTATTGTTTGCTGGAGTTTATGTGTAATTCTTTCATTAATATATCTCAACAAACCATGCTTTTTCCTCCCAAACTTTTCTCTACTCATCGTTTCAGTTAATTTCATTCCTGTTCTTTATGATCTCTTTTTTTCAACTGTTAAAACTGACCCTTGGCAGGCGCCATGGCTCATAGGCTAATCCGCCACCTTGCGGTGCCAGCACACTGGGTTCTAGTCCCAGTCGGGGCACCGGATTCTGTCCCAGTTGCCCCTCTTCCAGGCCAGCTCTCTGCTGTGGCCCAGGAGTGCAGTGGAGGATGGCCCAAGTGCTTGGGCCCTGCACCCCATGGGAGACCAGGATAAGCTCCTGGCTCCTGCCTTCGGATCAGCACGGTGCGCCAGCTGCAGCGCGCTGGCTTCGGCAGCCATTGGAGGGTGGACCAACGGCAAAGGAAGACGTTTCTCTCTGTCTCTCTCTCTCACTGTCCACTCTGCCTGTCAAAAAAATAAAAAATAAATAAAACTGACCCACCTTTTCTCTGTAGGTCGTATTTCCCCCTTTTATACTCTCAGTGTCACTATGCTAGTTGAGGTAACAATTTTCCATCCCTTTTGTGTGTTGCCACAGTAATTTTAAATAGTGTTTCTCTCTTCTGATTTCTAAAAAAATTAACTGTCTTCTCTGTTTAGATATTTTTAATCACTTATGTTATATATATATGCTGCCTCCTGCCCGCCCCCTCCAGCCCCTCCTGGTTCCAGGCGCCCCTCCTGTGCTTGTGTCCATGCACGTGAAAGCACGCGTGTCCCTCTCCCCCTTGCTCACGGGTTGGTCTGGTGGCAGGGGCCCTGAGGGAGGTGGAGACACTTAGAGGATGGAAAGCATAGTCTGGGCGTTGCAGAAGGCTAACAAGGGAGGCAAGAGCTGGCTTTGACCTGTAACGGGGAGGCACGAGCCAGTTCCCAAACGGCTTCCATTTTCCGTGGAGGCAGTGCAGGTGACAGCCGCTGGCCCCTTGGTCTGTTTATGTGAAACCAGTTCCCGCAGCCCTTGTGGTCTCTCTCTATTGTTACTACAGTTTTTCTTTTCGTTGTTATTTGGGGTTCCCTTGTGGTTCTGTCTCTCTCTCCGACTCTCCACGCCAGACCCGCAGTGCTGTGGGGAGGAGCCGTGACTAACCAGGCTGCGGTGAGATGTAGCAGGAATCGCTCCCAGCAAGCCGCGGGGCCGGGGCTGCCGCCGCAGTAATCGCTATGGAGTTAAAGCTTTATTTAGCCTTGATCTGTGCCCCCGCCCCCGTAGTAAGGTCTTGCCACATTTTATTAGTGAGGTTGAGAGATGTATTACTTGTTCGTTGTTCTCGTCCCCTCCCCGAGTATTAAACTGTGAAGTTTGTGATTTGTTTAAACTCTGGGTGAATCGTAGCTTGCTTTGCATGTCCAGCTAATTTGTTTCCATACATTTTGTTTGATTATTCTCTCTCTCTCTCTCTCTCAAGGCTTTTACAAAAAAATATATATATTATATGTGTGTGTATATATATGGATCTTCTGAAAAGTTTTTTGAGGTGCAAGTTTTTTTTTTGTTTTTTTTTTTTTTTTGTTTTGTTTTTTTTTTCTCTGATTAATGGACACGATGCTGAGAGTCAATCACTACAGGAGGAAGCGTCTGGCTGTGAGAGCGAAGCCCCAGGGCGGTCTCGCACGCAGCTCGGTTGCCCTTCAGAAAGATTCGTCAGACGTTCGTCTCTTTCCTCTCCCCTCTCTCTTCAAGAAGGAAGTTGATCCTATTGATTTCAGCCCATGCATTAAACAGGAAACAATAATAAATGTGTAGAATTCATATTTTTCTAAAGGGAACTTAAAAAACTGCTGCTACACGTTATGTACAAAACTGGTTTATGCCACATGAACAGAGAATCACAAGTTTGGTTTTGGTACTTTTTGTTCCTCTTTGTATTCAGTTGTATAGAACTTCCAGATTCAGAATGAAAAGAAAGCTGTTCTGTATCAAACCATCTAAAGCAATAAATGTTATATTTTAAAAACGGAAAAAAAAGGTTAAAATTCCTTACACTGCCATGAGGTTTTTTATATTCTAATTTTTTGTTTGTTTTTGTTTGTTTTACAGGCAGAGTGGACATTGTGAGAGAGAGAGAGACAGACAGAAAGGACTTCCTTTTTGCCGTTGGTTCACCCTCCAACAGCCGCCGCAGCCAGCGCACTGCGGCCGGCGCACCACACTGATCCGAAGCCAGGAGCCAGGTGCTTCTCCTGGTCTCCCATGCAGGTGCAGGGCCCAAGGGCTTGGGTGATCCTCCACTGCACTCCCGGGCCACAGCAGAGAACTGGACTGGAAGAGGTGCAAGCAGGACAGAAATCCAGCTCCTGGACCGGACTAGATCCCCGTGTGCTGGCACCACAGGTGGAGAATTAGCCTATTGAGCCGCAGTGCCGGCCTTATATTCTAATTTTATATTTGCTCTATTTCATTGTTATTTCAGGAACTGTGAAGGGAGTGCATGGTGATTTTTTCTATTTTTTTTTCTGGGATTTTTTCTTAGCTCTGGTGTCTTATTGACTCACTTTTCTTGAGCATTGTGGTTATCTTCTCCTTAGTTATCAAAGATAGCAATAGCCCTGATCTCTTTTTAAGCAAGAAAAGAAAAGCATTAAAAGACAGAGCATGTAGTTCACTTGGTCAGATGACTTTCCTGACCTCCTGTGGTTTGTCTTGGTCTTTGCTGTACAATTCTCTTTCCTCATTAATTTCTTCATCTTCCCATTACTCAGCAAAAGAGTGATTCCACAGCCATTTTCCTGTATTGATTGGGACTCAGAGTAAGTAAGACGAAAAGTGGAGGGGTTCAAGAAGCTAATGTTAAATGCTGTGTAGGTAAAAGATTCTGGGAAATTCTCTAAACAAGCAGATTATTCCATATGTAAAGTTACTGGGACTGTAAGTAACTGTAGAATCTTCTGCACAGTATATCAGGTGCTGTACTATCATGATCTGTATGATAAGATGTAAAAGCACTTATTTTCTGTGTGTCTGTATATCAATAAATTCTGATGGATCAATTAAAATTCACATATTTTACAGAATTACTTCATCCATTTCTTTTAATTTAAAGAAACATCATTTTGGAGGGTTGGCGCTGTGGCTCAATGGGTTGACACCCTGGCCTGGAGCGCCGACATCCCATATAGGCATAGGTTCTAGTCCCAGCTTCTCTTCTTCTGATCCAGCTCTCTGCTGTGGCCTGAGATGGCAGTGGAGGATGGTCCAAGTCCTTAGGCCCCTGTACCCACATGGGAGACCCGTAGGAGGCTCCTGTCTCCTGGCTTTGGATTGGCACAGCTCTGGCCATTGTGGTCATCTGGGGAGTGAGCCAACGGATGGAAGACCTCTCTCTCTGTCTCTACCTCTCTCTGTGTCCCTGTCTTTCAAATAAATAGAATAAATCTTAAAAAAGAGAAATATCATTTTCACTTTTATGGAAAGGGGAATAACTGCTGTACAATGAAAAGGAAATTCCCTCATCAATAAAACTTAAAAATATTCAGAAATCATTTACTGGAATATAGTATGTTCTTATGTGTTTGATTATAGATGACACAAATACACTATCTATATTCTGTTTTGGTTAAAATTTCTGCATGTGTGACTTCATTTTTTCCTTATAACCCCAATTCTTTTAGTATCATAAGATGGAAAATGAGTTCTATATAGGCCCCAATATAGGTTATTATTGGCAAGGACTTGTTTAGTTTTCCTGCTCTAAATATTCAAATGTTATAACTTTAGAAAGAAATATATTTATTTACTATACTAATGCCTTTCTAAAAATTTTGTAAATCTCTATCTTCCTTTGTATATACTGATAATACTTCTGTTACGCTGCTGGAATTTACAGTTGTGTGTAATGCTGAAGAACTGAAACTGTCTTGTTCACAGCTTACAGGACTGAGCATGGCAACTTTACTGGAAGCAAGGTATATACCCTACATACATTATATGACTCTTGCAAAAGCATATATTGATACATAAAAGTCAAGTAAGTGTAATTATGATGCTTTCTTAGGTGAAAAGAAGTCAATAAATGCTAATGATTTAAGAGTCACAGGCATTTAGAATTAGAGGGATCTTATAATACAGCAATACACAATTCTTCTTAAGTGCTGAAACTTAACTGAAAAGTGATCGCTGTTAAATATAAGAGTGGGAATAAGAGAGGAAAGATGTGCAATTCGGGACATGCTCAAGCTGACTTACCTCAAACAGTAGAGTTAGAAACATACCAGGGGATTCGAATTCAATCCCATCGAGGTGGCATGTACCAATGCCATCTCACTAGTCCCACTGATCAATTTCTGTTCACAATTGATCATAATGATAGGACTAAGAACCAAAGGGATCACATAAACAAGAATAGTGTCTGCAAATACTAGCTGATAGAATCAAAAAGGGAGAGAATGGTCCAACATGGGAAGTGAGATACACAGCAGACCCATAGAATGGCAAATGTCCTAACAGCACTCTGGCCTCAGAATCAGCCCTTAAGGCATGCGGATCCGGCTGAAATGCCTATGAGAGTATTTCAGGCATGGAAAGCTAAGACACTCTGGGGGAAAAAAAAACCTAAATGAAAGATCTCCGTGAGTGAGATCCCAGTGGAAAGAATGGGTCATCAAAGAAGGAGGTACCTTTCTCTGAAGGGAGGAGAGAACTTCCACTTTGACCATGGCCTTGTCTAAATATGATCAGAGTCAGTGAACTCAGGGGGCTTCCATAGCCTTGGCAGCTCATGACAAGAGCCTAGGGTGATTACTGATGCCATAAACAAGAGTGTCAATTTGTTAAGTCAACAACAGGAGTCACTGTGCACTTACTCCTCATGTAGGATCTTTGTCCTTAGTGTGCTGTACATTGAGATTTAATGCTATAACTAGTACTCAAACAGTATTTTTCACTTTATGTTTCTGTGTGGGAGCAAACTGTTGAAATCTTTACTTAATGTATGCTAAACTGATCTTCTGTATATAAAGAGAATCGAAAATGAATCTTGATGTGAATGGAAGGGGAGAGGGAGTTGGAAAGGGGAGGGTTGCGGTTTGGAGGGACGTTATGGGGGGGAAGCCATTGTCATCCATATTCTGTACTTTGGAAATTTATATTCATCAAATAAAAGTTAAAAAAGAAAACAAAACAAAACAAAAAATAATAACATTTATACATTTATTTTTAATATGAGGTCAAAATATTTTATTGAGTATAAAGTTAATGGTAAGAAAATTTAGAGTATTTTCATGAACATATAAATTTCATATTAGACTTCTTAATGTCAGTTTGCATTTTAAAGCTTATTGCCTAGTTTATTTCTATAAATAATGTACTTGGTCCCCTGTGCACAGAAGAAGCTGCTGGCTCCTAGCTTCAGACAGGCCCAGCTCTGTCCATTGAAGCTATTTGGGTAATGAACCAGTAGATGGAGTCTCTCTCTCTCTCTCTCTCTCTCTCTCTAATAAAATTAAAAATAAAAAGTTTTATTCTATCTATTTGAATAGCAGAATGATGGGAAGGGAGGAAGGGAGAGAGAAAAACTGATCATCCATCATCCATCCATCCTCAAATGGCTGCAACAGTTAGGTTGAGCCAGACTGAAAGCAGGAGCCAGAAACTCAATGATCTGGGTCACCCATGGGGTGATAGGAGCAAAAGTATTTAAGTCATTTTCCACTGCTTCCCCAGGCACATTAGCAGGGAGCTGGAATAGAAGTGGAGTAGCTGAGACTTAGAGGTAGTAGCTCACCACACCAGTACCACAGCACTGATCTCATTTTCCTTAGAGATTTATTTAGTTGAAAGGAGGCTGACAGAGAGAAGGAGAGACAGAGTGAGAACTAACAGATTCTTAATCATTTCCAGGGTTCAATATAAAAAATTATTTGCAGTTTGGAGCTGACATTGTGGCTCAACATGTTCAACCACTGCCTGTGATGCCAGCACCACATAAACATGCCAATTAATTTGGTTATTTACTTGGCAGTATGAAATATCTGAATATTTGAAAATTTTGAATCGTATTAATTCAATTGGGTTTTAAGATAAGATGTTATATCATATTTTAGCTCTTATAATGTTTTAAGTGATGATATTTTAAAGGCTTTTTCTGTGTTCTATCAATAATGATAATGGTTTGTTTTTTACAGTGACCATAGGATTACCATTTAAGGCAGTATTAGGTAAGAATACTCAACAGAATAATTTCCCAATGAATTATAGTATATTAGGATATTTTTAAATTGAAAAAAATAGGATTTCTTTCAGAGCTCATACATAAGTTATATTCAATATTGAAGATATTTACACTTTTATCACTTTGATTTAATTATTTGGCAAACTAAGTGATAATAATTATATACTATTACAGCTTTTTTAAATTGAAGACATTTAATGATGAAATAATATTTGTTTTAATTTCCGTACTCAAAATCTCAGAGAAAGTATTTCATTATTTATCAAATTCAGGAAAGTGTCATACCTAATATGGAAAAATTAGTGTGTAATAAAATGGAGTTTTCTCATGTTTTCTTGGAAGTCTCATAGAAAAACTTTTAATTACATCAATCAAAATTTTCTCAGCCTTGTAAATTCTGGAAATCATTAGGTATTCTTTGCTGTTCCTACTTAATTTACCATACATTAGAACCAATGGGATATTTAACTATTTTTTAAAAATAAAATTGAGGATCTGGCATTTGGTATAGCTAGTTAAGTCACCACCTGCAATGCCATCATCCTATATGGATGCTGGTTTGTGCCTCAGCTGCCCCACTTCTGATCCAGATCCCTGACAATGCATCTAGAAAGTAGCAGAAGATGACCCAAGTTCATGGACCCTGCCACCCATGTGGCACCCAGAAGTTCCTGGCTCTTAGCTTAAGCCTGGCCCAGCCTTGGGTGTTACAGTCATCTAGGAAGTGAATCAGCAGATGGGAGCATGCTCTCTCTCTCTTTTCCTTCTCCTTCTTCTCCTTCTGTAACTCTGCCTTTCAAATAAATAAATCTTTAAACCTAAAGAAAAGAAAAATACTTTTTGCAAGTTTTCTTAAATGGCATATTTAATTATAAAGATTCCAGCAATGGATAGAAAAATCATTATATCATAACAAGTCGTGCCAAATACATATTTGGAAGCATAAGATGTAGGTATATTTTTGAAAGAATAAATAAATATGGAACAAATTATTCAAAGACTCTGTTTTCTTTCTTTTTCTGTTTTCTTTCCTCTTCTTTACCCAGCCTCCATCTTTGAAGCCTGACACCATTTTACTGATGCTGGAAGAAGAAATGGGAAATTTCTAACAGAAGTCTGTATTTAATGTCATTAGCTTTGGTAGAACACTACTAAATATATAATTAATATTTTAAGTTATAACAATTGTAAAACATAAAAATAAAAATACTATACCCTTAGGTTAAATGAATTGGGATAAATAAGTGCATTTCCTCTAGCTACCTGCCCTATACCTGTAGAGATTAGCATTAGGACATTTAAGAAGCCATATTGTGCTGGAGCAGAGAGAAGAGGAAAGAAACAAACAGAAGTCAGGAGGTATTAATAGTTTTGGATGTTGGGAGGAACAGCTAAACAGAATTCTATAATTAATTTAGAATGTTTGATCCAAATTTGTGAGGGCTGTGGTGAGTGCTTGGATTTAAGGAGCATAAACTCTTATTCCTTTCAACAACCTTATTCAACAACATGATTGCTGATTCTTCATTCTAACAGAAGATTTAGAGATTTGTTCTCAGGAGAGATAGACAAAGAAAGTCCTCATAGAGGACTGCACTATCAAAGATGAGACACTATTTTCAACACATTTATCTCCAGAGAATTGGTTTAAATAGATGATGTGACCTATACTGACTGATGTTTGGACATCCTCCAACAACGGATCTCAGGTTCTACATAGTCCCCTACAGTGGGTTAGCCATATGACAACCCTACATAGAATTTATAAACAGGTTTGTGTGTGTGTGTGTGTGTTCACTTTTAACTGTTTACAGAATCCCTTTCTGCTTGGAAAATAACCTATTAAAGTGAAATTTGGGCATTAACCTTATTTACTATGTCTAGTCAACTCTGCACCTCATTGAAAAGTGCTCTGGAGATCCAGAGGTGTTCTTTTTTATAATCCCTTTCTAGTATTTTCACCATTTGAAATTTATAGATATCCAACTATAATGAGATCATTTTCAGGTAGAATCACATAGTTGTGCTCCTTATAGATGTTTTATTTTCTCTTTCTATTTAATAGTACTTAATTCTGGAAATTAAGCATTATCTGAAATGCTTTCAAAATTGGCAGCAATATTTCTTGCTCAAGATCATAGTTCATAATAGTATGTGTGTAGATATTTGTAATATTTTACTATTCTAACTAGTTTCCTACTTGTTTGCTACTTTCATAGAAGTTAGGATTAGAAGAATAGCATCTAACTGAGAAGTAGTGAATTTAAGTAATTTGCTTCATGTTATGTGCATAAATATGATTGCATTGTACATTAATTTCTATGGCCTCTGTTTTATCAAAGCGCTGTATTCTATTTACTAAAATTTGTAGTTATTCTCTTGTTTCATCTTTAATTAATTTTCAAAAAAATCACCTTATGTTTGTTTTTACCTACGGAAACTATGCTTAAGAATAAAAAACAAAAACTTAAAGATAATTTACATAAACATTTAGATAGTTCTGTAGCTTATTTCCTTTCAGATATTTTTCATAGTCTACCATGTAAGGTTTAGTTGAAAGTGTTTTATTGTGTATTTGCAGTTCTAATCCTTGATATCTCGATTCTTTATATGATTTATTTAACATGCCTTAATTACTGCCATATGCCATCTGCTGAGGCCACTGAGCAAGAAAATAATCCTCTTGGAGGCTTCAAAACTGATGGTATCTTATGATAAGTACTCAAACATCTTTTTGCTCTTAGAGTACAAAAGAGTCACCCTAACTAGTCTCCGGTCAGGAAAGGCTTCTTAGAAGAAAGTAATGTCTAGACTGGTCTTTAAGAATGTGCAATTCACTAAGAAAAAGATGGACACACTGTGCAAAGTGGGCCATATAGTCCCACCCTCAGGACAGCAGAATGAAGTACACAATCCATGTACATACGGTTCAGCATAGCTCAAGCCACATAGTTCTATGAAAATAGGAGATAGATTAGAAAGAGTAAGATATTAGAGGATCTAGTATGCCAAACTCAGGAATTTGTATTTTAATCTAAATGCTATTGATGGAATTGTAAAGAAGTATGTGACTGGATAAGATTTACCTTTTAAGAAAGAGTTCTCTGCAGTGGCATTGAAGGTTGGAGACTGAAGGTGGGCAAATCATGCCAGAGATCTTGTGATTACCTTAATCCCATGCTATAAGCAAGGTGCTGTTTGTGTGTGTGAGGAAGTTATAATCTGACAGAAGAATACAATGCATTTTATATCTAGGCATTGTGTGAACTTATTTAAAATAAATATTATGTAATTATTTTTAAAATATATTTCCAAAATAATGGAAAATGGTCCATGTCTCTGGGCCCCTGCTACCCCTGTGGGAGACCCATAAGAATCTTTTGGATGCTAGCTTCAGCCTGTCCCAGTCTCAGATATGTAGCCATCTGGGAAGTGAAACAATAGATGGAAGATCTCTGTGTGTCTCTTCTTTCTCTCTGTAGCTCTTTCTGTCTCATAAATAAATAAATCCTGGGGCCGGCACTGTAGCACAGTGGGTTAAAGTCCTGGCCTGAAGTGCCAGCATCCCATATAGGTGCCCATTGTAGTCCTGGCTGCTCCTCTTCCAATCCAGCTCTGTGCTATTGCCTGGGAAAGCAATAGAAGATGGCCCAAGTGCTTGGGCCCCTGTACCCACATGGGAGATCTGGAAGAAGCTCCTGGCTCCTGGCTTTGGATCGGCACAGCTCTAGCCATTGTGGCCATCTGGAGAGTGAACCAGCAGATGTACAACCTCTGTCTCTATTTTTCTCTGTGACTCTGTCTTTCAAGTAAATAAAATAAATCTTTAAAAAAGAGCAAATAATAAATCTTTAAAAATAAAAGTGTTAAAAACCTGTTCCAAATCTTTCATAAAAGTAAGATTTCATTCCTTTTTTATTGCTGATTAGTATTCCATTATGTATATATACAATACTTTGTTTATCCAGCATTGGTTGATTCCATAACTAAGCTATTGTGAATTGAGCCGAAATAAACTTTTGGGTACACATAAATTTTTCCATATGCTGATTTCATTTCATTTGGATAAATTCCCATAAGTGGGATTGCTAGTCATATAGTAGATCTATTTTCAGATTCTGAGGAATCTCCTATGTCTTCCACAATGTCCATACTAGTTTATGTTCCCAAAAATTGTATATTAGGGAACATTTTCCCAACATCCTAACCAGCATTTATGTTTTGTTGATTTCTATGTGGTTGCTATTCTAGCTGGGATGAGGGGAAACTTCATTCTGGTTTTTAATTCACGTTTCCATGATGGCTAGTGATTCTGAGCATTTTTTCATGTATTTGTTGGCCATTTGAATTTTATCTTTAAAAAAAAAGCCTATTCAAGTCCTTTGCACATTTATTAACTGGTTTCTTTGTTTTGTTGTTGAGTTACTTGAAATTAAGATGATTCTGGCCTCATAGGAGTTGGGGAGGATTCCCTCCCTTTCAGTTGTTTTGAATAGTTTGAGCAGAATACAATTAATTCTTTAGAAGTCTGGTAGAATTGAACAGTGAAGTCATTTGGTGCTGGGCTTTTCTTGTTGGGAGGGTTTTTATTACTGATTCAGTCTTCATCTTGGTTTTTGGTCTGCTTAGCTTTTCTATGTCTTTATGTCTCAGTTTGGGTAGATGGTATGTTTCCAGACAGCTATCCATTTCTTCCAGATTTTCCAGTTTGTTGGCATATTTTGTGTTAGTCATTTCTGTGGACTCTTATGGAACTATTGGCATCTGCCTATGAAAGAAGCTACACAAGAATAAACGATGTAAAATATTGTGACACTATATACACCTTTTAAAAAAATGTTGATTGGAAAAGCAGACTTGCAGAGAGAGGAGAGACAGAGACAGACAGAAGAGAGATCTCCCATTCAGTGGTTCAATCCCCAAATTACTACAATGGTCAGGGTTCAGGCAGGCTGAAGCAAGGAGCCATGAGTTTGTCCTGGGTCTCCTATATGGGAGGAAGGGGCTGAAGCACTTGGGGCATCATTTCCAGGCACGTTAGTAGGGAGTTGGATTGGAATTGGAACAGATAGAACACAAACAGGCAGCTATATGGGATGCCAACATGTCAGGTGGCACTTTAAGCCATTATGGCATAGTGTCAGCCTCACTATATACAAATATTAAATAAAATTTATTATAGAGCAATTACTGAAATACGTTATATGAAAATCCAGTTGTACACTAGATAAAAATTGGCAATGCAAAATGATTTTGATCAAAATAATTTTAAAATCTATATAGTCTCTTTCCACCACAGTATTTTTTTTTGACAGGCAGAGTTAGACAGTGAGAGAGAGACAGAGAGAAAGGTCTTCCTTCCATTGGTTCAGCCCCCAAATGGCTGCTACCAAATGAGCCAAACTGAAGCCAGGAGCCAGGTGCTTCTTCCTGGTCTCCCATGTGGGAGCAGGGCCCAAGCACTTGGGCCATCCTCCACTGCCTTCCCAGGCCACAGCAGAGAGCTGGACTACAAGAGGAGCCACCAGGACAGAACTGGCACCCCAACCAGGACTAGCACCTGGAGTACCGGTGCCACAGGCGAGGATTAGCCTAGTGAGCCATGGCACCAGCCTCCACAGTATTTTTAGTTGGAGTAAGATAACCTGGAATGACTGAATTTTTTTCCCTTATCTAGCAAAATTGACATTAAACTGCAAGGTTTCTGATCTGGTCAGCTCTTGCATTGCATTTTGTACATATCCCTTAACATTTTATTCCATAATTGTTCACCCTAAAGGATAGAACATGTCTAACTTAAGAGACAGGTAATAATGCATTTTTTCTCTGCCCTAGCATATCTTTTTGATATATTGGAACTATTAGAAATTCATGAAACAATAGAAATATTTTCTTCCTTCTTAGAATCATCTAAATTTCAAGATTATTTTTTAAACTTCAGGTAAAAGTTTGGGATAATTCTTATTCACAGAGGTTGGTACAGGAGATAATTGAGATTTAAAGGAAGATTGAAGGCATATGGTAATTATCTTGCAATAATAAAGGAATTATCCTGACTTTGAAATACCATTCTAATAACTTCCTTGATCTATTATAATAGCTTTAGCTTTAAGTTATCTGCTGATGTGCTAGTATTATTTAATTTTATTCAAAGTCTTTAATTATAGACACAGTAAATTAAATGACTTATACAAAGTTCCATTTTATTTTATACTAAAGTCATGGACATTGGTTTTTAAATTATTGCTTCCTATCTTAATTATACAACTTTTATTCATGATATCTTGGTTTACTATTTGGATAAATAGAAATGTAAAATATGAAGCTCACAATGATCAACTTACAGTCAATGATTTGGGCTTGAGAACTGATTAAGACAGAAACTATAGAAGAATGTGAATTGAGAATGCTCGATGATTTCATGTCAGAAGGTTCTATTCTTAGCTATGATATAACTACTATATTAGTATGTACCAAGTATCTGTTAGCTATAAAAAGTGGGCCTGTTATTACAAATTATTTTGATATTTTCCCCTTCCTACAGGGGAAAGTTAACCACACATTGCTAACATATCTCCTGTGTATTCTAGTGAAGATATAAACTGTAGGGAATCACCAGCACTTAAAATAATCTGCACCTTAGCTCATTCCCAGTACATAATTGATACAATTTTTCCAGTTGGATTACAATCTTTTTTTAGGTAGAATTTCATTTTGTTTTGTATCATTTAGCCTGAGAAGTATTTATTAAGTGAAATTTTTAATGATACATATTTTAAAATATTAATATGCTCATGGATTTATTT